CATGGCGGGCCACATGTTTGACACATGTGACCTAAATTAACTACCATGCTGTTACTCATGCAATCTTACAATAAGATGTTCCAACAATCAGTCCAACTACAACACTGAGCAGTAATACAAATGTTAATAGAGTGTCTGATTTAGCTACATTATACCTATCACATATAGTTCATATCACATTTAATGAAACAAAACAATGTGCTGCATATATATAGCATGTCATAAAAATAATCATGGTGATCTGCCCTGGTTGCACCTTACTACATAATGATGTAAAACTTAGAAAATATAGAATATATGCCATGCTAAATTCTAACATCTCCACTGTTTTCTGCTAGTTTCTTACTGATTTGCTGCCATAGTAACCAGTTTCATGTAAAAATTAGCTTTCATTTCATGGAAGGAGCTTTTCATTTCAGCATGTGCTAATATTTACTGTAACACATCAGACATGGTGTGAAACACTGTGTGAAAGTCCAATGTTTACAAAACACTTGCTACTGACTGCCTCCACACAGCAGCAATCCATCAGATTATACTCTGAAATCAGTTTTTTATTTTTATTTTTTATGGAATCATTTTTCCCTCCTTTCTTTCAGTCAGTATGTATCAAACTACTATATCACAATATAGGACAAGTGGGCTTTAGCAATACCATTATTTCAACATGTGGTTTTGAGAGTCAGTTCCTTACCTTTCACCAATTTCAACAGTCATGTGTGAGCTGTAAACGTGACATTTTGTAGTTGTATCACATCTTCCTGTAATCCTCCTCTGGATTGGCTGCAGCAACTCACTTGAAGGTCATCACGTGAGAAGCTTAGAAAAAATGCCATGAGAAAAATGCTCCAGTGACCTCTACATGGGTTGAATGTAACCTGCAAGTGCTGGATCCTCAAAGGAAACTTAGACACACAATATTAATTTGTATTTGTTGGCTGTTTCTCTGAGCAACTTAACCACAAAAATTACTTGAACACACTCTCTGTAATATATATTTCTCTGTAGAGTTTATTGCTATTCAGTGTCGCAATAAAATACATTGCTAGATCTGAAGAGATTAACTGAAAAACCAGCTACTGATCAGGGGATTTATGTATGAAGAGTCCTAACTGCTGATGAGCAGGTGACCATTCATCCATCATCTCAGCTGAATCCAGGATTAGGTCACTTAGGTACCAGCCTCAGCAGGGAGACTTTCTCTTTCTCTCCAACCACTTGGGCCAGCTCCTCCAGAGGAACACACAGTTCCTCCCAGGCCAGCCGAGAAACACATCCCCCCCCCAACATGTCATGGATCTTTCTCTGATTGTCTTTCCAGTAGGACATTCCCAGAACACTTTACAAGGGAGGCATCCTAACCAGATGCCCAAGCCACCTTAACTGGCTCCTCCCAATGTGGCGGCTCTCCTCTGGGTCCCTCCCTATTGAACAAGCTACTCTTCCTCTTTAGAAGGGAGAGCCCGGACACCCTGAGGAGAAAACTCACTTTGGCTGCTGTATCTTATTTTACAGTAACCATCCAGAACTCATGACCGAACATGAGGCTGGGAATGTAGATCAACTGGTGAATTGAGAGCTTCAACTTTCAGCTCAGCTCGTCCTTCACCACGCCCAGTACAGCACTTGCATCACTGCAGACAACACACCAATCAGCCTATTGATCCCCTGCATGAAATTGTGTTCATGAAGGCTATGAACAGAACCAGTAATAAAGGTCAATCTTGGCAGAGTCCAACTCTCATTGGAAACAAGTATGTCTTACTGCTGTTAATATGAACCAAGCTATGACCCCAGTCATACAGGGAGCTAACAGTCCAGACCAAGTGGCTTGGTACCCCATACTCTCAAGAACCCCCACAGGACTCAACTGAGGGAGACTGCAGAGCGTCTTCTCTGAATCCACAAAACACAAACCATCAGTGGTTGGTCAAACTCCCATGCAGCCTCCAAAACCTTACTGAAGGTGTAGAGCTAGGCCAATGTTCCACAGCCAGAACAAAAACCAAACAGTACCTCTTGAATCATGACTGTCTGAGGGACCCTCCTCTCCAGAGGCCCTGAACAGACCTTACCCAGGAGGCTTAAGAATAATCCCCCTGTAATTGCAGCACAATAGGGGGGATCCAACTGCTATGGTTGCATACTCATGTGGTTTCCTAAAACTAGAAGAATTTTCAGTTGGAAACTTTTGGGCCATTTTTCTGGATCGAGTTCTGAGAACTTTACTTTCTGGATTCTGAGGCATTGAAAACTTACGGATTAAACCAAGAGATTTATTCTATTTAAATATGTATTGATCAAACACAGGTGACATTCTGTTTCCCACCTACTTTGACAACAGCAGGGCTTTTAAACAGATATGTTTTGTGGCTTTCTCATAAATCTCTACGAAAGTATTGATCTTAATTTCCCTTTGCAGATCAATGTTTTATATCCATGCTGCATTTCCACCGTAAATAATTGCTTTTCTTCTTTCCAAACATTTTTTTTCTTAAAACCTGTCAAAGTTGTCATAAATCTGACCTTGAATTCTGTTTCAACTCTCTGACTCCCACCTTGACATTCCACAGTGCAGCTGAGACTCAAAAATGTATTCAGCTTATCAGTTATTTCTGCCACCCAGCAGCTCCCTCTCAATAAATATGGGGTTGACTAAGTTGATATGCCTTGGAGGCATTTTAAATATTCTCCCCCAAAATATCTATTCATAAAGGGGGGGGGGGGGGGGGGGGGGGGGGGCAGGATAACGTAATTGGGTGATTTATGACCTTTTCACACCACTGAAGCGATTAACTGAAGACATCATTCGGAGCTGTCAGTCAAACTTATTGTTCACATGGAAACGAAACACCATGCAGTGGAGAAGTGAGCCGGCTGACTTAAATGATGCCTCCTTCTGAATCTTTTCACTAAAGTGGCCTCTTCAAAACTGTTAGATGAGCTCTTATTGTGTTAAGAAAGAAACTTCTTCGATCTTCCAGCTACACCAGCAAAAAAAAATATATATATATATATAGTCAAAGGTTCAGGTAAATCTGTGCATGTATCTATCTCAAGGGTGACATGCTTTGAGCTGAATACCATTTCATCCCAGTGCTCGTTGCTCGCTTGCTGCTGGTCACAGACCTTGACTATGTTCAGAGCTTAATAGTACATCTGGGATACATCTTCACATAAAGCTATCATTATACCAGATTTAATGATCAGGCACAGTGATTTGTCTTTATAGGTCTTCTTAAGAGCGCACACACCTGCATCTCCGGAGCCTTCTTTGCTAATAACACCAGGAAGAACAACTTGACGATAATTGGCTCATCATTTCAAGTGTGTTCAGGCATAGAGCCCCCCCACTCCTTCTTCCCTCCTCCTCACTGATGCTCAAAAAAGTCTCAGCTTTGGAAAAGGATGAAATTGGATAGAATTGCCTCCTGGATGGGATTTCATGTCTTTGGCATCAACACGTTTTTTTCCCCAGCCTATGGAGCGCTGAGCACTTAATCTTCACTGTAACCCAGAGTGTTGCTGAAGAAGCCTTTAGTACTGATGACAAACTGGCAACATAGCCTTTTTTAATAATCCCACAATTTTCTTAAAAATCCATAAAATCATTATTTTGTATTTTATTTTTGGTATTTTATTATCTGATGCGGATGCATTTATGATTAAATGGCTGTTATCGCCACATTAACTAAGTCCCTGTTTTGCTTTCTACTGCCTTGACTGCTTTACTCTTTTAAAGCTTTTATTCAACTGTGATCAACAAAATTTTGTTACAAAACAATTACAAAAACAGCTTTGCTATCAAAATGAAAACTGATTTCTACAAAGTAATGACATTTAAATCAATGTATGTGACATAAAATGGGTGATTTCATAAATATTCACACCTTTCAAGTCAGTATTTAATGCTAACTGGTTGCATGGATAGGTCTCGATCAACCTTTCATATCTGGACACTGCCATTTTACTCCACTCTTCCTTACAAGAGTGGAGTAACCTTATCCATTGATGGAAATATACATTGGTTGATAATATTATTCAGTTTCACTTACTGGACCAAAATGTTACAAATTGATTAACATAAGCAGATACGCGTGATAATGCAAATATATTTCCTACCTTGTAAATCAATTGTATATAAATTATTTCACCTATGTCTCTTGCTCTATTAAGCTTAAACGACAAAAATTTATATCCTTCCCCAAAATATGCAACTTGGAAAATGTTCATGTCATTTGCTTAAATACAGTCAAAACTGTCCAAAAATATCATAACACACAAGAGTTAATATGAGCAAATCAACCTGGGATCCACCCGACTGATGTATGATATGTATCATACTGTGTCATAAATTCAAACCAGTTTTCCTCAAGATATACAAGTGCATCTTGAGGATAAAGTCATTATTTATCCTAAATTAATTGTTTATCATCATACTGATCACACTTTTCGTTGAGAAATTTGTTACTCTAGACATCATTGTGCTAAAAAAATAAAATAAAGCAGAGAAACTACAAAAGTATAAGAACTTTTGTAGATCTTACAAAAGAAGCGATTGTAAAGCTAAACTATTGTCTGTGTGGACTGCAAAATCTGTTAAAGCATCCATTAATCCAAACCTTAATTAATGGTTTTAACTATTTTTGCTGCCCTTGCCGTCTCGTAATCCCTTTCAAGGAAAGTAAGAAGGATGGATAATATTGTGATTGGACACAAATCACGTCTTAAAATTAAACCAGTCTGTTCTACAACTGGTGTAGCTGTTAAAATCCCACATCTAATAGCCAAACAATGTTGCCATGCATTCATGGTTTTTTACTTTTGCATATGCACAAAAGCAAAAAAAAAAAAAAGTGTTTGTTTTATTTCACCATTTCCCATTTAATTCTGGTTAATTATACAGATGTCTCACACAATATGAACTGCTATTTGAACAAATTGAAATGAACTTCGTAACATTTTTGGATCGTGGTTGTCTTTCTTCCCCTTTTGTCCTTTGGGCTTGCAGACTCTCAAGCTTAATTACCAGAGGTAATGGAAGATGAAGCTAAATGGCACTGATGGGGTCCAACAGAAGGTCATTAGGTGTCCTCATTATCGTCCAACTGATGTGAAAAAGGTTTAAGTTGTTACTCCAATCCCGGTGGATAATGTTCCTTTCAGTTTGTCTTTGCAGGGAAGGATTATACGGTGCAGGCAGGTAGTAGAGGGACAAGTAGGGAGAAGCCTAAGCTAAAAACCATGTGTGCATGTATGACGCTGGCTTACAGTTTTACACATCATGAGACGTGTTAATTATGTTGCATGAGTAAGCTACATTAAAATTAGTACACCATTTAGTGTTAACGTCTATTAAAACTTAATCTCCTGAAAGATTGAAATTTTGACATTTATAGAGAGTTATTCATCTCTCACGAATCAAAAGAAAGTTTTATGGACTGCCTCTGTGCTCTGATTTCTAACACCAGCCTGAGTGAATTACACAAAGACGTGGAAGCACTTTTGATTCAGCAACTTACAGCCCCAGAGTGATAAAAACAGAAAATAATGTGTACTCTTGTAGAACTACCTTCATTTCTGCTGAGGTGGTTTCGCCACCTCTGTTTCTATATCTTTCTCAGCTACAAGAATAGTTAAGTTTGGCTCTGTCTGCTACAGGTCACCTTTAAACAGGCAGGGCATTCTGTTCTCTTTTAGCATTGGCTTTTGGATGACTGAAGCTTACTGACTCCAGATGAGATCCTTAAATAAAAAATTACTAAGTGACATGAGGTGCAAGTCCAAGGTGTTCTAAAAAGAAAAACAAAGTCTTGCACAAAATTTGACAAATGTCACAAATCCAAATAGAAAATCAGTTCTGTCTGACTCATGCATGCACAGGGAGAACATGCCAACTCCATGCAGAAAGAGCTCAGGCTAGGACTTGAACCCACGGCCTTTTTGCTGGAAGGCAACGGTCCTACCAACTGTGTTACTGTGCAGTCCAAAGTGCATCTAATACCACAGAGATTAATTTGTTCCCTTTGCCTTACTGAAACCCTTTGTCAAACAGATTCCTGTGATAATTGAGAAGCTCTGTGAAGATTAGGAGTTTTTCAAATGTGACTGAGGAAATGTTACCAAAAGCCTATTGAAACAGCTGAACTTTATTTTCAGGTTAATCAAATACACATACGAGTATTTATATTTTTAAGTTTGAAAGTAGCGAATAATTGTGAAAACAACAAAATCCCCATTCACTGTAAAGAGGTTCACACACTGAGGCAACCACATTGTATTCTCTACAACTTCTGCTTATTTATACAACTTATGTGCAACCTTAAAGGTGGAAAAAATTCTGAAATTATTTACCCTGGCCTCATTTTCACATCACAAAGTCTGCTATTTTAACGGTGTTTTGTGAGTATTATTTTGTATTCAAACCCTAACCCTATAAAAATCTGAAACATGTTCAAGCTTTTGATTAAAAAAAAAAAAAACACCCAAGATTATGCACAAAAAATAAAAATTGGGACACAGTGTTACAATCATCAAAGCAATGTTTTATTGTAGTACTCATAGTTGCTCAGACACGTGTATATACAAATACAGATCATTTTCCTGTCAAATTTTCTTTCATTTTATATACTGTAAAAGAGCAGTTTGGAAACAGTCCCCACTGATGGAAAAGCGGGAGTGGGGTTGAAAGGTGAGGGAGAAAGGACAGCAGGTGGAAGTTATACAAGGACAAGAAGAACGGAGGCAGGACATAAAACGAACAAGTGTTTTCATCAGCAAGAGGAGAGCTGAGGAGCTTTACCCTGCACACAGAGCATAGATCGATGATAGGGTTCACCCTCTAACAATCCAGTTCAGGATTTGTTAGGTGGGGTGCTCTAATCCTTGAACTGTTCCTAAGACCACCATCTACAGTAAGAAAAAGTGATTTAGAGGTTGTTAAAAAGACAGAGAAAATTGAAGGGCCCCATTGTACTCTCTTCGAAGCCAGCAGCTGCTCTGTGTACAAGCACAATGGCAAAAAGTGTCTTGAACACAGATGGGTTAGAGGCTGAGGGGCTAAGGCATGGGAAACGCTCTTCATTGCCAAACAAAGTTGCCGCTTCGCTTTTACTGTGGCGACAGAAAAAGAGACACAAAAAACTCAAAGTGTCACACTGGAAAATGTCTACAGTGATGTATCCACTCATAAACCCCTCCTACTGGGAGTGAAGGGAAAAGAAGGGCACAAGTCGAGGATGAACACCATGGATGCTTACAGAATGTCAGGTTTAGAAAAATAAAAGTAAGAGTTGCTTTTGATCTACAAAATGAAGCACCTCACAAAACCCAATTTTAAATCTCCCAACAATGGCTTGTGGTATGTACATTTGTCACGTGTGAGTACAGAGTCTGACATCACTCGAATGGGGGATGCAAAAACACAGAACATGGAAATGACCATTAAATCTAATACATCAGCATGAAAAAGAAAACAGAAAAAAAAAAAAAACAAAGTCTTGAAAACTTCAGATTTTTTTTTTTTCTTTTTTATACGTTATCAAGTTCATGCGCATGCCACATAATGAAACTGGTGAGATCCTTCCATTAAAAAGCCAACTTTCCACTCAAAAAACGCTTCCAAATCCTGAAGGCAAGAAAAAGTACAAATAGGCCATCGATCAAGTCCCAAATGCTTCTTTTCGTAGGCAGAATCTTTCCATGAAGAGGTGGTGACTGGTTTAAAACATGTAAGAGGTGAGCCTCCCGTTGGCTAATGTTCCAGCCAACTGCACGGTGTCCGCAGCTCCCGCAGGTTTCCCCTTTTTGTTTGAATTCAAGAGTCTCTTTAGGCATTGAGGATTAAAGCACACACAATGCATTGTTTGAGAACAGTACACACTCCGCAAAACCCAGAGATAATACGGTAACTGATTGTTTTTAGAAAATACATAAGAACCAAATTAATACTTTAATATCAAACACTATATACATCGAGAAGTTTTCCTAATAATAATAATAGTCATAATCATTATCATCATAACAATAATAATAATTATACAGTTTTAACAATGGTTTATCTCTTGTTTTTTTTTATTTGTCCTCCAGAAAGGTACAAAACAGATACTAACCTAACACTACTATGTTGTATGGTTGTCTACCTCAGGATACACAGTATCCAGTATATAAGTTGATTCTCATTTCCCAGGTTTGGGTTATGTGCAGAAAAAAAAAAATCATGGCATTGATAGCAAGAGAAAAAAAAAGACAATTAGTGTTGATAATCATAAAACTGAAGATGGTTTCTGATTATAGCCTGCAGACAAGCGTCCATGTTGAATCTTCTGCAGTGCTCATATCCCCGTGGTGATATTCTGAAAATTAGTACCTCATTAAATGGCCTCATCTCATATTACCTCTTGTAGCTGAGCTGCTATTCTGCTGTAATAGCATTGTTACTGCAGTATATAAAAGGAACAAATGGCTGAAGGCAAACGTTGTTTTTGAGAAAAAAAAAAAAAAAAAAAAAAAATATATATATATATATATATATATATATACATATATATATATATATATATATATACAGAGAGAGAGAGAAAGAGAGAGAGAGGCAGAGACAGAGAGAAAGAAGTATATATTTATAGATTGAC